TATTGCCATAGGTACCAATAAATGATTTGGATTGTGCTAATCCTGGTAGATTTTCCAAGTATTCCTTTTTGTTGTGATTCTTCTTCATTTTTATTAGAAAAGGGAGGGTAGTGTATCCTAATCCATATAAAGATTTTGGCCCCATCAGCAATATGGCTGCTCCTTTCCTGGCTAGGTTGCTTGCATATATATTTCCGTGTACGCCAGTATGTCCTGAAACTCGGAGTAACAACACCTAATTTAATTCACCGAGCCGGTTTAGCTTTTCAAAGCATTCTTGCACCAGTCTTGAAGTCACCTGATGCGTTGATGTTTAAGGCCTTGATAGCTGCTTAGCTGTCTGTTAGTATTGCAAATTTTTGACCTGGAACTTCCGTTCTATATTGAAGAGAACACACTTAAATATCGCTTAAATTTCCACTTCAAAGATGCTTATATTTTTTCCCAATGGTTCTTGCTTGGTCCGACATCTTCTCCCGTAAGGAACTGTCAGTGAAACATGTAATTATGTTAATACTCGGTTAGCTCCTTTTAATGAGTTTGGTAAAGCTGAACTTTGGATTCAGTGTTTCCAATAGCATCAAAAACTTAGGACACTGTTTAGCAAGATATTCGAACCTCTTATGAGGTTGAGTTTTTGGTCAAAATGTATGACCCAGAACTTAAACGTGTTCTTTATTTCTACAATTCATTCGAGCCTGATTGGGTTCAGATGTTTGAGTTTGTATTTCTTTGTAAGAGAAACAACTGTTGTTTTAGCTGGGTTTATACTCAGTCCTACCTAATTGCACAAGTTTTTGTTAATTCAAATCTGAATTGGATTCTGTCACACAGAGTATGTTTAAATTTTCCTCTACTTACTATAACTATGGCATCTGCATAGCCTTGTTGTTTCCGCTGTTTCCTAACTCGAAAAACAGTTCGTCCACTACTATGCTCTACATGAGTGGTGAGAATTCTCAACCCTGTGGACATCCCTGTATAGACTTCATTCTTATTAGGCCCTGCACTTACTGCGTTTTTAATTGGAACTAATACATAAAACACAGCTATATAAATTAAGATAATCATTTATTGTAAATTATTATTTTGTAGAAAAAATTTCTGTATTTTCACACTGTGCATTTTGCAAGAATAGTTTAAACTACTCTCATCATTACTCCATTTTCCATTTGAAATAGTGTTCTTATCATACGACGAAAATAATTTTTAATTGAATATAAATCAGTAGTAACCAAGACACTATATACTATAGTATAACATTTTAAAAAAAAGTAAAATTAAACAAAATTTTTTTTTAATTATTCGATCATTAAAATCAATTCTGTGGATTGTTATAATTCTTAATTCAAATTTGAGTAAAAATAATAAATAAATGTTTAAAATTCTTACGCAGTTGATATAAAAAATAAACACGACAAAATACGTAGGTATATATTGTGAATACTGAGTATCCGAGTTGTGGCACCTAGTATTTGCTAAACAATAAAAATATGTACTGCAAAAGAGAGCCCACTAGCAGCTATTAAAGAAAATTAAAGTTACAAATAATACGTTTGAATAAATACAATATACAATATATGTACTTGTATGTATTTTTGTCAATATGTACAACTTCTGAAATATAGTTTGCTTATTTAACCTGTTTGCTTGATTCTGTGTTTTTTCTCATCAGGATACTTTGAAGATGCAGCATCTGTTTTGATTGTTGTATCTTCAGTTTTTGTATCTGCAACTGCAATTTAAACACCAAAATTGGTATATTGGCATATTGGCAATGCGAATCTGTAAGCAGCTTTCATGCATTTAAAGATGTGAAGATAAAAAATAAAAGAGAAGCTAAAAAACTTGGTTCGGTGTTGATTGCCGTTAAGTTACATTTTTTTTGTAGCCAACAACTTTTATATGAGACTTTTGGTGCTAATGCAGCCGTGCATGTAACGATGAAAAAGACGCATCAACTTAATTTGCAATCTGTTGATATTCTTTTTCCACTTCAAGTTACAGGTGCAGAAGACTTTTACAATATCTTTTCATCGTCAGTTTTCCGTAATCATTATCTTATGTAACAGTAATTAATGGAGTTTACCCAATTTGATTTTAATGTGCTGCTACATTATTAAGATATATCTTTGCGCTGCTATTACACATTACATGTAGTTAATTGATTAATATGTTAACACGGCCCATATTGTGTTTAGTATATTAACAGACTACTGAGAACATCTCTCAGCTTAGTTGATTATCTTTCGTAACGTTTTATGAGCTGCTAATTTGGTAACGGCTTATTGTACCATCAGTAGCACTTAATTCCATTTCAAATTAATAAAATTAGTTTATTGAAATGAAAACGTTTTGGAATTTTCAAATATGGTAAATACAGCCATCATCTGTGACTACTTATTACTGCTAAGTGGCTGCCAAATTACTAACCAAAGAAATAACAAAATGGAAGGCAAAATATTTATTGCATATTATATTACTTTTTTATATAATTCTTAATTCATCTATAAATTGTTGTTTAAATCATAATAAACTTAATAATAACAGCACAATGTAAATAGACGAAGTCTAAGCTAAATAATGTTTTCAATCTAAAATTTTAACAAAATATCTTTTATATCAACGTTGTTGCTTTAAAAACTGCAAATATTCCAGCGCTAGTGCCATAGAATCTGCTAAGCAGATTTGGGCATCCTTTTTATATTAAAAAAAAAAGTTACTTCTCAAATGTCTATAATGTGCATAATTATTATTTTCAATTGATCGAATAATGGGCGATAAAATTTAAATAATATTTATCAAAGAGTTCAAGTTTTGTAATGCATACACCTATCCTTAGCAATAGAAATAAACGTTACTTTTGTTGTAGCCATTTTGGCAAATTTAATGTGTGATTAAAGCTTTACTTCTGAGGTAGATCCAACAAAAAATTTTTTAAAATTTTTTTAAAGTAAAAACTGATCTTAGTACAATTTGAACTTAGATCGTAGTTCCATTACTCATGCACCATGTTCTCTATACAGTCAGACATTAAATTTATTTAGAACTCAAGGCGAATTTATGTCTGTACATTGGTTAATATGCTTAGAGACAAGCAATTTACATTGCTGTTCCAGAATGTAATAGAACTAGAACTGTATTTTATGCGCTATATTAAATATAGTAAAATAAAATAAAAATAAAATTATAAGCTAAAACAAAAAATAATATTAAATAAAAATTAATTTAAAAAAAAATGCAAACAATTCTATTCAAAAATCAATAAATAGATTTTTAACACTGCGTCAAAACAATAGTTTCTGAAATAGTTTGAGAAAGGTCCTTATATCTTTCATTTATATTGGTGAACTAAACTCTAAACTAATCTAAACTCAAATAAAATTTGAACATTTTCTTTAAATTTTACAACCAAAAGCATCGAAATATATAGACATGTATTTTGGCTCTGTTAAAAACCATATATTCTGAAAAGGTCCCAGCAATGGAGAAGAGATCTCAGTGCAAACATATGAAAAATCGTACTTATTATTTTATGTAGGATGACTAATATATAGTTAGTGGTCCAGTAGTGAATACAATATATTTTGCTGGGGAGAAACCATATAGAAATGCAGAAATATATAGAAATATATTTACACAATTTCTAGTGCCTAAATACAGAGGTCGTTTAAGACAAAGTATAGGTTTTTAACACTTGGTGGACGGACAAACAGTAACAGAACTTTTTTACCTTTCTATGTTACTGATTAGAACATTTTAATGTAGTAGATTTTAAGAATTTTCGTTTTTATTATTGGGGCCTTAGCTTGTTCTAAGTTAGATTAAGCAATTTCGACTCAACATTTTTTGAACGACAATATGCTATCGCTGAATATCTGAAACACTAAATAAGTAGAGTTCTTTAATGTTGTATAAAGCTTAAGAATAAGTGATTTAAGTCTGTCTTGGGCATTTATAATAAAAAGAATAAGAGAAAAAACGTAAGGAAATAAATTGCAAAATATAAATAATAAATTTTAAATTAATATTAAAAAATATATGATTAATAAATGAAGCATAAAAATTGTAATATTTAATAATAAAAGATAATATTTAAATAAGTATATTAAATGATTACATGATAAAATATCACTGTATATATGAGTATGAATTGAAAAGTTTTTTCATTTTAAATAAATAAATTATAATTGCAATACAAAAAAGTGAAGATTTCTTTAAAAGCTATAAATTATTTCAATATATATTTTATAATAAATTATATTAAAATGTTTCCTTATATATACATATATATTAAATATAAATACGTAAGTATTACTTACATTTAGACTTACATTTACGTACTATAAAATGATTTTACTTAGTAAAAAATATATAAATTTAATTTTTATATTAACAGTGCTAAAATATTGTTAAATATTTTAAAAACTTAAAGTAGCTTGTTTATCATTGAATCAAGTTAAAAAATTGTTAAATTCGCTTCCTCCTTGTAAAGTTTGTGTAACCAATAAAAAACCAAAATATTCCCTTAAAACTTTGGCAACATCTTTTTTGTTTAAAAGCTGTGAGAAATAATTGCAATAATAAAAAAAATATAAAAATTTATGTATATATGTAAGCCACACAGTACACAGTGTACAGTACAAACAAATGAACTCTACCCAACAAACAATTTAATAATGACAGCAATCATTATTAACACTTATAACCCAATAATGAGCAACAACTGAAAAAGGTACCAAAAAGTTTTGCAACGTTTGTGTGTATGTGTGCATTTCTGCAAGCTCATGACAGCATTGTTCATGATGATGCTATTCATTATGACATTAAAGAAGTTGTTTACGTTCAGTGGTAATATACCTGCACACACACACACAGAAACAACAGAAACGTTGTTGGCAATGACGAAGGCAAAGTTGTTGGCTGAATCGTCTCACAAACGAAGCCGTTACATGCGGCTTCACTATAAAATAGCTTTGCTTGCCTTTTCAAATGCATTCAGTCGTTTGTTCCCTATACGAAAGCAACTAAATTTTATATTTTAAGTTTTACTTCTTTCCCCCACACAAAACTCACAACTATGAACTCCTTCTCTGTGGTAAGTATTTTGGCAGTGCTGCGACTAGGACTAGGATTAAGCAATTGGATAAAATCGTGTCGGTGACTAATCAAGAATTTTTCTGCTTGCGTATTTACAGTGCTTGGTGTTTGCATTGGCAGCTCTGGCTGCTGCAGAGCCTCCATCTGGTTACAATTACCAACGTAATGGTGGTGGTGGTGGTGGCGGTTTCATTGGCGGTGGTGGTTTTGGTGGCAGCTCTTTCGGTGGTGGCGGCGGTTATCAAGCCGTTAGCGGTGGTTTCCAAACATCCGAAGGCCAAAATGTTGATCCACAATTATTGGAACAAGTACGTCAAATTCTTTTGAATGAAGAAAGCAAATCTGGCGGCGGTGGTGGTGGTGGTTTCGGTGGTTCATACTCTGCACCATCATCTCAATATGGACCACCATCAACACAATATGGTGCACCAAATGTTGGTGGTGGCCGTGTTGTTGGTATCGATCTTGAAGGTGTACGTCAAGCCATTCAAGTTGCGCAATTCGCACAGCAAAGTACGCAAGCTGGCGGTGGATTCGGTGGTTATCCCAGCGCGCCTTCCGGCTCATATGGTGCACCGTCAAGACCTAGCAGCAGCTATGGCGCACCATTCTAAACTGTTTTAAACAATTAGAATTAAAAACATTTTTTAGACAAAATATTTAACAAAAATTAACAAGAAATTGTTATTAAATTTGTGCTGCCAAAAAAATGTAAGTCGACATCAAACTAAAAATCATAAATCGCGCGCCAACTCCAATTGCCTTTATGAATGGATAATAATGTTAAGTAATACCAACAACAACAACAACAACAACAACAACAAACGTAACATCAACATCAACATCAGACAACAACAAATACAAAACATCATAAAAATGCATATACTTAATGCACATGAAGAGTGTTCTTAAAGTTAATGAGTTTGAAATAGCTTTGTGACATTTTCACTCAATTTATAAGCGCTATAAAACTCATAGTGAGCACAATTCGCCGCTCAATTGAAAATTCGTGCTTAAAATGTTGTTGATAGTGAAATGTTTGCAAATAATTATGTTATTTTAATTTGTTTTTATTTTCATTTTTCAATTTCACATTTTCAACCATTACGTATCCATTCTATATTTCATTTAAGTTCGTCGATCAATTGAGTTGTGCTCAGAACCGCTTATTTTCTTCATTTATTTGAGCACAATCTTATTTGACTGACATTGACCTACCTCCCTACCATTTTCCGTTTATTCACAAACACACAAACATTCTCACTCATGCACTCTCACTCACACTTCATGAGAATGTTTATTGTAAATAGTTTGTTCTTTATTTTTAAAATAACGACATAACGCATCGTTTTAGTTATTAAGTGTTTTTATTATTATTGTATATGAAACAAACAAAGAAACAACAAAAAAAATTATGAAAAAACAATAAAAAAATAGAAAATTTTGTCACCGTTAAGTTTTGCATTTTTAACTTAATTTCAGAAACTGTAATCAGACTGATCAAGTGTTCTAAAAGAGGACATAATTCATAAATTCAGATATCCAAAAACAAAAAAAAATTAATTGAGTTAATTGAGTTATGTAAAAATTATGGCTCTGCTTTAAAAAAAGCCTTCATCTTGGATTTCTGGAAAAGTGATACTCTTTTTTGGACACTCTTTTTTGAACACTCCTTTTTGGACACTCCTTTTTGGACACTCCTTTTTGGACACTGCTTTTTGGACACACCATTAGCAAAAAATTCAAAGTCTCTATTCCGGATGATATGAGTTGGAAAAGTGGCACTCCTTTTTTTAACCCAAATGTCGTATTATACTTCTTGCACCAAATCAATAAAAAATTTAGTGTAGTAGTTCCAACACCAACATCACGCTCTCACTGTGTGTATAGCTTAGACCATGAGGCTCGCGTTCAACTAAATTTTTCCAATGAGTTTTAAAGATTCCATATCTATGCTATGTACTAACTATCTGTTCATACAGTAGCAGTAATTAAAGTATTATATTCCAAGACTCTTTTATTTTGTTTTTGTTCCGTTTTCGGATAACTACAACAAACTGTATCTACTGACTAATAAAACCAAACACTTACTGATATATCATGTCAACTAAAAGATGTAGATATTAGTATGACACTCCAGGAAACCATCAAGTGAAAAATATAATTTATCCTAACCACTACAAAAAATCGTTCCCGTATGTACAGCAATAAAAGATGAGAAGTCTAACTACACTCATTGTGATTATTAAGCTTTAATCAGGACAGTGGTTCTTATCACCGCCTGATACAAGCACCAATAAGAATCATTCTGACCTTCATACGACAAGTTGAGTGTTTTCTGTTTAGTTATATCAGTTACTTAAGTCAAAGATTTAATCTACTTGCATTTAAGATTTAACTACATTGCTGCACTAGGGACCTATACTCCATATTATTTCTTCAATTTTATATAAGATGATTATAAAAAAGTGCTACATATCAAGTCACTAATAATAGTGAATAAACTACTTTGCATAAGTTGCAATAATACGAATAAAATAAAAAAATTTAAAATGTATCTGAGCCCTTTTAATTTGTAACATTAAATATCGATTTATCATATATTAAATCCTTTAACTCCTAGGAGGAGCATAGGGCCGCATATAAAAGTATAAATAATGGCATATATTGTATATATCACCATAAAATAATAAATTTTTTTATTATTTTTACGTTTACTTTTTATATCTCCGTAATAACTGTAACGTATTAATCACTTTCATATACTAACCCAGTGACAGTAATAGCAACTATAATATATGGGTACCACAATTTATTAAATCCATTAATCTCGTAGTCACATTTTTTTCTTCTTTGTTTTTCTAATTTATATCTCATAAAGTCTTTAATTATGTATAACAATTCCATAATTGTTGCATTAATGTTGTTGGCGTCGTTATAATTACCCTTTTCACTTCGAAATCTTTCACGTTTTAATTATGCTGTGTTGAGTTGAAGTGTTGGAGAAAACTATTAAGTAAGATTAAGAAAACTATTAAGTAAGTAAGATACAAAATAATATG